GCCCGCCCGCCCGTCTGGGGCCCACGCTGCCTCAGCCGCTTCCCAGCCCGCCTGGGACTGGGCACCCGGGCTTCTCGTGAACTCGCCTGGAAGGACGTGTTCTCCTCCCTTCCCCCTCCCAGCCTCCACCTTCAACCGTAATTGAGGTCATTGTTTATAGCACTTGATACTATTAATTACTGACACGTGAAGATGTCTGACTCGTGTCACTCTTTGCTCAGATAATTATTGTTGACGTAAGAAAAAAGTCACATTCTGAGACATTACCAAAAAGTCCAGTGTATAAAAAGGAAAGACTAGGATCCATTTAACTCCCGCCCCACTGCCAGGGTTTCATGTGGTTCCCTCCCTGGTGACCCAAAACAAAACAAAAGCCAGGCACTCACGTGCAGGCACTCGCGACCCAGCCAAATATTTACAGATGTGGAAGAACGTGTTTTGAGATATTCCTGAGCTCTGGCTTTTACGATTTATTTCAAGCCATCTAGGGTAGAGCCTGGCATATGGGTGGCATGACGATTTTAAGGATAATTCATTTGGAATCACACTGAAATTAGGGAGGAATTAACATGCTTCTAGTTTTAAGAGGTTCTCTGAGCACAGTTGCGTTACATTAGTAGAGCTTCAGTGTTTAATACAGGAGGGTGATTTTCCCTCCAAGTATTAGGTCTATTTCATTGCTGTTATAAATGCGATCTAAGGGCCCTGTCTGGTGCCATCAGCTATCTCCCGCCACTGTGGCATGAGTTTGGTCCCCAGCCAGGGAGTGACCCACAGGGCACAGCAGACCCCTCCTATCTAACCTGCTGCTCCCCTCAGCAGTGGATTTCGGTGGATCTCTGGTGAACCCCCTCATCCCCACACCTCTGGCCTACAGCCCAGTTCTTATATGCTTGAGTAAAAATAAATCTTTTAAGTAAATACATAAATGAGATGAGATCTATCCTCCAAATGCTTATTGCTTATTTGTAGATTTTCATGTGTTAATTTAGTGATCCACCAACTATGAATTTCTTTTATTGCTTCAATTGGTGTTTCAGCTTATTTTCTAAGATCTTCTAGACATGTGACTATTGACAAATAATTTCTTGCCCTGTTCTCTCATTTCTTGGTCTTGCTTAATTGCTTTGGCTACCGTTCCAGAAAAATGTTTAATTTGTCCATGCTGATGGAGGTCATCTTCACCTTTTTCCTGTCTTTAGTTTGACTAATTCTAGTATCTTGCCATTAAATATCCTTTGACTCTTGTTTTGAAATAGATATCATGCTAAAGAAGTATGTTCTGTTTTGCTAAGGGTTTATCTGGGATGAGTATCACGTCTTCTCTCAAATTCCTTTTACGGTGTGTAATGAATGTGTCTTTTTTACCCCCTTTGACCTCAACTCAGTATATCTAATGAGCATCATAACTGTGGAATTAGCCTGTGTTCCCGGAGACCTTACTTGTGATTAGTGTGCTGTCGGGGAGGCTTTGAGGTTCCGCATGTTTGACAGCGGCGGCCAGTGTCACCGCCATGCTGTGACCAGCATCCGCTGAGCGCTTACTTGGCCTGGCCCAGGGAGCTGCCGAAACTGAGGGCGCTAAGCCCGGAGGCCTGGCGCCAGCTGCAGCACCCTCATCCCTCACCACAGCCCTGAGACTCACCCATTGTGCGTCTCGCGAAACTAGACAGCCACACAGCGTCAGAAAGACCACAGCCGAGGGGCTGGGCAGCTCCTTCTGCCCTACACTGTTCAGCCTCGTGCCTCTCCTTTGTCAACTTTGCCACGTTTTTCCTGAGGCCACTGACGTGCTGTGTGAGTATTACAGCTGCCTTTTAGTTTCTTCGGGGAGGTGTTTTCCTCAGATGTTTACATCCATTTTATCGCGTTCCTGATTTCTAGTTTCTCCATTTCTGCATTTCCCAGCCTCTTTCCTCATCTTTACTTGAGTTTCCTATAAAGCACACTGCGCGGCTTACTAAGTTCATTTGTTTTCCTTTTCCCTCCAATCTGCATCGCTGGAGGCAGTGAATTTTTCCGCGAAGGGCACATTCCTTTGGACACATTCCTTTGGGCCTCTCTTTCCTAGATATCCTCCATTTTTCGTGCTTTCAAAATTCCCGGCAGGCTGAGCTGCTT